GAAATAAATTCATCATAGGTTAATGATATACGAGAACATGGACAGTGAGCATCAGATGGTAAGTTTATGAATTGATCTTCACTTGGATTTTCAACTATTATAAGTGTATTTCGACTTCTTGTTTTCATAATAATAGCGAGTCCAAATAGAACGACGATAAGAATAATTAAAAAGATTCGAGTTGAAATAATATTTGATCGACGTTCATGTTCTTTTTCTGCATCTGTTGCTGTTGAATCAGTCGATGATTCAAATATATTTAAATTGACAAAATAATTTTTCAATGAAAACATTTTATAATAAACAAATAATTATTAATTTCTACAAAAAAAGAATAGTTAATCTTCGACAAAAAATAGAAGAGTAGCGTTGAAATGACAAAAAGAATTATTTCCTCAAATAGTGATAACTACGTAATAGAAATAACAGATAAAAAATCAAGTGTTTTGGTCTTAATCATGAAAATAAATAAAATTTATTTGAACTTAAACTAAAATTTTATTTCAAAAAGAAAGATTAAAAATTATCTTCTATAAATACTCACTATGTAACAAAAGTTTTTAAAATAAAAGCTTTGTGTTTTAAATATTTTCTTTCAGCCTTAAAGAAAACTTTTCATTCTGTTGAGATGCAAATAATTTTTCTACGTTTGACAGCACTCTAGAAAATTTTCTGTATCCATCATTACATTATGAATTGAAGTAAAAGAAAAAACAAAAGAAGAATAAGAGAATAATTTTAATTACACTAAAACAAAAACTTTTTCAGATGTATAAAAATACTGAACTAGAAACTCTTTTAAATAATAATCTATGGTTCTTCTAAATATCGGAGACGAACTTGAATATGATTATTGGTATGTTAATTTCAATTAAAATTCATTTTATTATCAAAAATGTAATAGAATTGAGCAACAAGAAAAAGAATATTTCTTTCACATGCATCGAATTTCGTATAAAGTTAAATAAGAATACCGTGTCATTTTAATGTCACACAATTTCGAAATATTTATTTTTCATTCAAGAACTGACGAAAATTATTAATACTGCAATCTTTTTTTTGTCTCGATATAACTCTTTTAGTATTGTAATCATATGCTTACATCTCATAAAATAAAGAATATTCGTTTTATTTTATATGTACTCGGAACTTTATTGAGTTTTGGACATATAATTTATCGTTCTCTGTACGAATTATACAAAGTTTTGGAATATTAATATAAATCTATCATTTATTTTACGAAGAGTTTTTTTTTGAGAATACTCTTTTATGCTTGACTGTTATTAATGCATGATGTTTGAATAAAAAATGAAAAAGAAATTTATTTATAGTCTATTTGACTGATTAAAAAGTAACATTTTTACAATTAGTTGTCTAATGATTTTTTGAGTAGCTGCTTAATTCGTGTTATACGATAAATGAAAATTTCAAAAACATGTCAGGCTCGATCAAGGTACAAGAACAAATTTTTTTGAATATCAATTACAATCCGGTCACAACTTTTGTATAAATGCAAGACAAACCCACCAAAAATAATTATAAATTATAACTTATAAATTATAAACAAGATAGGGCGTTACTATAACTATGGCAGAAAAGTGGAAAAAAAAATTTTAAATTATAAATGAAATAGGACAATCCTATAACTACAGCAGAAAAGCAGAAAAAAATTATAAATTATAATTGAGATAGGAGTTGTGGAAACTTCGTCGAAAATTTATGTCAGTGAAAAAAATGATTGATATTGATTCTCTTTTCTTTTTTCTATTTTTCGGAATATTTGTAGGTTCTGATGATATTTTGTAAGACTGATTCGATTTTAGTGAAGTTTAATTTTGAATAGGCATGTACCAAACCCAAACTCAAACCCAAACCGTTTGGGAGTTTGGGTTTGGGTTTGGATATGAGCTAAGTACTCAAGCTAATGGTGGGGTTTCAGTTTTAATCGTGGCCGGCTTCTATTACATTATTTGTTGTTAACGTTTGTTTTTCGTCGAGGGCTACTAAATCAAAAAAAATATCTTTGAACTTGGTAGTTGGATTGATAGACTCAGGAAGATGAGTAGAGATCCAAAAACCATTGATCGCTATATTTCGGCTTTATTCATCTGTTGTCTTTTACGGATATGACTTGAGCAAAGAGATTTGGAGAGTCTTTTGAAGGAGTTCAGTAGAAACTATTTGCATTTTGTCATGTACGTAAAAAAAACAGCACATTCGTCGTTACCATGCACATATTGAACATCTAATAAATAGCTTACACGAACCATTCCAAATCGAATATTTTTGGACAATATTTTACACTTTTTTCTTAGTTTGTTATTTTAATGGCTATTGTATGTAACGGGCTGATTATATAAGGTTAGCTTATGCACAGCTTAATCAGATATGCTTTACAAGTTGAAGTTTTTACAATGACAATGTGACATTTTTTTTACGGTAATAAACTAAACTGTAATTTTTAACGGATCAGGATTCAGAAAACTTCTTTCGTGTCATCACACGTGTCGATATGCGTCGGCGGTATATAAAAAACGAAGTAAAGGAATTTTAGTCGTGTTGTTTAAGCTGAATATGCAAAGATGTTAGTTCAAACGATTGGAAGATAATTAAATGACTGAATCCAGTCTCACGGTTCAAAAAATCATCTCTTTCTTTTTCTCTTTTCTCTGTTGTTATATTAAAACATACTTTTCGACCAATTCGTAACATCTATCTAGTTTCCTTCTCTATATATAAATATCAATAAACCTAATTATTTTCTTTCTAATAATCTACAACAATTGCCGTTCACGTTTAAATGAAAACTCGACGTCATACTACTGATGCTCGTATATCTTCATCACGTAATGAAGATATTAATACAATTCCAACAACTTCATCTGATCAACAATCAACTGAAACAGGGTGTGAGTGTGAAACTAGCTTCTCCATTTAAGCCATACCCACACTAACACACCCACACCCACACCCCAGATTGGTCTAATTTCGAAGAAATGCCGATCTACTGATATTTCACACATCGTCATGACAACAAAGAACAGTAGGGTGTGGGTCTCCGGTTCATCCACATCCACATCCCCACCCCCACTCATACCCACACACCCACGCCCTCTCATTGACTCTTTTATTATTCTCAGATCATTCTTAGTCCGTTCTACTATTTCTGAACGAGCTCTGCTACGAAATTCGAATTTTCCTTTTAAACGAAAAAAGTTTAAAATATTCATCGTGCGAAGACCAATATGTTCAGAGAAGTGTGCTAAGTAACAAATTCGCTAAAGAAATTGTTCGAGCTTTAAAAAATGTTTTTACTACAAAAAGAAAATGCAATGGCACCAAACTGCTGCCATTGATGAATAATATCACACAATATAGATGTCATTTGACCTAAAAATGTCGCGTAAACTTACATCCGTACTCACTAAAATGATCAACAAAGTCTATCTCATCTAAGTTTCCTGTAAATAGAATGTGAACGAAAATTCGAACGTTAATCGACTTTTGATATCTCAATCGACTGCTTGAAAAATGTAACACCCAATTTCAAGAGGGGGTCGATATCATTGCATAATGTCTCCTCCTTTGCGATCATAGTTAAAGTCTTCAAAATGTTGATATCGACAAATTCGAGATCAACTATTGTCAAAGCATTTGGATTGTGGAGACACGTGCCCTACATATGTGTAAATATATTACTCATCGCATAAAAACATAAATTCGTTCTCTACTCCGACATTTTTACTGTTGCCTTACATGATAGTGTGTAGGAGACCACTCACCCCTAAAGGTTGATAAAAGCAAACGCAAAAGTGAGCTGCGACAAAAACAGAAACGCAACAGAACATATTACCACACGTGGTCTGAGTCAATCACACATTATTTAAAAGAAAAAGAACGATTACAACATACATATAAATTCTGACCAACTTTAAACATTGTTGACATTATTCAAGACTGCTGTGAGTAACATGTTAGCAATATCCATATGCTAAGAACTACTCTTTGCATAGACTTTCTTTAGGTAGTTCGGCTCTTCCGAAAAATAATATATAAATGAACGACTTAATATCGAAATATACAACTTTTTATTTTTAATAGCAGCGAAAATGTTTTGTAATTAACAATATCCGCCAAGAAAGACTTATTGGAAATGACAGAATTCACTTTTGTAAGTTATTTTCGATGTATCTCGTATAGATCGAAGATAAAAAGAAAAGAGTGTATAATGATGTCATCGTATAGGAAAAAACAATAGTTCACTAGTTATAAGCAGCTTATATGTATACTATACGAATAACGGAAAATATTCAATGGTCATGGTGTATATATCACTATGTAATTGCGCAATATCAGTTAGTTCCATCATGAAGATAGTCTATACAGTATTTACTTTTGCAGTTTTTCTGCAAAAGTGAATTCTGTCATTTTCAATAAGTCTTTCTTGGCTGATATTGTTAATTACAAAACATTTTCGCTGCTGTTAAAAATAATAAGATTCTTCCGATCTGAGGAACCCACCAAAATCATGTTGTATGATCTAGTAAAAAACCTGTTTGACCGAAGTTAAGCATCAAGTTAATTAATGTCGTTTGAACAGTTGGTTGAAAAAATATCTGAAATTAACGTACCTTTCCGAAGTGGTTCTTATCTATCTTGACAGAAGAATGTTTATTTCTCTTCATTCGTATGCCGTCATACTTTGCGTGAAATGTATCGACAAATAAAGATATCACATGGACAGTTTCCTAAAAATTATGCCATCATCTATTTTGTGACACTTTCTATGACGTCTCTTATCAAGGCTACTCTGTTTTTTTTTCTATCATTATCAAGGAGAGCAGACTGATTTTAATATTGATTATAAAGACTTTTCATTCGTTTCTCTTTAGATATTTTTCCATATAAAACTCAACAATGATAGGAAATGCTGATAAATTAGACACAAGAGAAGAAATATCTCCAAGTGATTCAGGATATTGTCCTCATTGCTATCCACTATTTTCTGGTGAACATATTTTCGATTTAGTTAAAGGACTATTATTATATATATTTAGCTATTCATTGTGTTCGCGACTAATCACGTTATTGTTGATATTACAGGCAGCTGTATTATGGCTTGGTTATTCATTAAATATTGTTTTACAATTATTATTTATACCATTTTTATATTCTAGTGTTGATTCTAAATACAACGTCCTAGTTTTTCTAGCATGTGATTTTATATTACCTGGTATTATATCATTTTCATCTCATTATTTTTGGTTTATTATAGAATTTGGTTTTCATTGTTATACAACTAATGAAACAAAAGAAGAAAAATTAAGTGAAAAAACAATGAATAAAAATGATGATAAAAACAATATTGATGCTTCGTCATATTTTCCAGAAAAAAAACATATTTACCGATGTTTTATTACAGTTGGTATGATTGTTTATATGACATTTCGAAGGTTCATTATAGATGAAGATCGATTTAGAACTCTATTTGCATCATTGGGTCTTTTTCCACTATTTTTAATGGGAATTCTCCATATTGTGCATTTATTTAGTATGTATTGTTTTGTTCGAAAAAGTGTCACAGAGAAGATAAATGTAAACATTTCTTCTATGAATACGACTGATAATGATGAAACACAATATTTTCGTGCATTTGTCATATTTACAGCTCTGACGGTCGCTTACAATGCGGGACACAGCGAAACATATAGTGTAAATGTATTATGTTATACTATTATTGGAATTTTATTTTCTAGTTATATTTTATTGTTTATTCAAACACCAATAGAAATAATTCATATTGGTAATGATCGAATATGTCCGTGTTCCAGTAACAAATCAATAGAAAAAAATATCTCATTTTACAAACCGAATGCTTTGAAAGTGAGGTTGATCAAAAAAGTTATTCAAATATCATTATCAATGAAGCAAAATCAACAATATCATATATATAAATTGTTTATAGTAATTATTCTTCATGTTATGTTGATATCATTAAATCATATTTTGGCACATTTCTTTCATCAACGTAATTTGTTACTTATCAATATTTTAAACATAATACCTATTCTTCTTTGGGTACCACCAGTTTTTAATCAACAAACAAATCAATGGATTCTAAATATTCAAATGTCTTTAGTTGGATTTTTAATAATTTTGATGCATTTCATATCATCAGTCGGCGTTGTGATTTTATTGCTTCTTAATTCATTAAGTAATCGGATGGCAGCATTGTTTTTACTTGTTGTACTGGCTTATACAGTTGCATTAATACATTATTATAGACAGCATTGGATAAAATATTCATCATTATCAGTGGCTTTAAAAAAGTGGATCAAGAGTCATGAATCGACTGGTATTTATTTGCAAGCATTTTCAATAGTGTTTATTTTACTTTCTGTAATTGGATTTTTGGGATTTAGTTTTGCTTGCTCTATCTATGTAGAAACTGTGCACGATAAAACTAATTCAACATTGTATCCAATAAAATTATCTGGTAGCTTTGAGAAATTCAGTAATGATAAAGAGCAACACTATAAAATGCAAGCTTGTTATTGGAAATTTAATAACTTTGATATACAAGATATGACGCTCTTTGCTGCATTAGCTTATGTACCGAAAGCAGAATTAAAATCCGAAATAAAACATTTTTATCCAAATGATTCTGTCGTCTTTGTTGATCAATTTCAGAACTATAAAGAATATGGTCATGGTGAAATAACCTATTACACTTTGGATACATCCGAAGCAGTTATTGTTGTTATACGCGGTACAACATTATCCTACGAATGGCTCGTTGATTTTGATATATGGACTGAATCAACAATAAATCAAATGATTTCAATTCTATTTCCATGGTCAAGATTATATCCACGAGGTGTTCATAAAATAATTGTCGAAAAAATGTCATTATTAGAAAATTTCTTTAGTGATAAATTGACTCAATCATCAAAACGTTTTTATGTTAAACAAATGATAAAACTGTTACGAGAGATAAACGTTAAATTTAAAAATAAGCCATTGATATTAGTTGGACATTCACTTGGTGGTGGATTAGCACAATTAGCTGGTATTGCCATGAATAACACAGTAGCTGTTGTATCTATTAGTGGACCAGGTATATCAAATTCCCGTGCCAAATATAGTGAAACGAAGGATATCCTAATGGAGACAATCAATGAGCGTGTATTTAACATAATAAATGATCGTGATTTAGTTCCATGGACCGATCCACAGGTTGGACTCATTCAAAAAGTAACATGTCCAAAAGAATTTAGTAGACTCCAATGCCATCAGATAAATCCAATACTATGCAATTTATTGAAGAGTTGTGGGAATCCAAGAAAATTTAAAATAAATAAAGATATTTGTCGACCGTAAGAAAAATAAACATGAACATTAGAGAATTATCTTGATGTCGCTCTTACTTTTTTCTTATATGTGTATAGTTTCTATTTTGGAACGCACGTGTTTATTAAAGAGAATAACATGTATACGTCACAGAACGTCTTAAAGAATTTCTATGATTCCTACAGGTTTTAAAACATGATGGTTTATTGTTAAATCAATGTTCAGGTGAAGTTACAACGTAGTTATGGTAATGAAAATACAGTGCTGGCCACAATTCCTTATCCGATTTGAAGTTTATCAATAGTTCAAGCTTTTGATGTGAGATTTTGCACACATGTGTGTAGCGAGAAATGCTAATCGTAGATGCCAACTTGACATCGGTTCAATGTAATAGGACAGAGTCATCAACCGAATCCTATCTTTACCTTGCAATGCTCATATCTCAACCATATTAGCAGTTTGAATGCCGCAGAATCCATCATTCAAGTCTTTCAGACTGCTGAGATACCATTCTGTTAAAGTGTGTCTACAGAATTTCACTTGTGATGACTTTTAATTCTTGACTATGGAAATCATCTTTAGATTAACTGATTCACTGGACATTTTTTTCCCGCATACTCATAGGTCCACGAATGTTTTCTGAATGTTTCAGAAGTATAGTATGCCTAAATACTTCACGAAACACTTATTTCTCAATGAATTCAAGTGTTCTTGCTATCCAGAATGGTACACATTAGTAGTTATATTGATCACTGAAAAAATAACCTATAGAACCTTCACCAATAGAAAAATATCATTTTTTTGACATAAGCAATCCAAGGTAAAGACAGTGTTTAGTGTATATAACTCTGTCCTATTACATTCAATTCATATCGGGTTGGTGTCTACAATCAGTGTTTCTCACTATACACATGTAGACAAAATTGCATGTTAAAAGCTTGAACTATTGATAAACTTCAAGTGAGACAAGTAATAATGGTCGGCGTTGTATATATGTTATTGATCAATGCCGCGAACTGCTCAATAGTAATGCAGACGTTTTTCTTCTATTGCAAGAGAAAAATATATCTGAGACACCTATTACTGTGAATCACAATTGTAGCAATTACGGATTACATGTCTTTAGAGAATATCTCCAGTAATTCAATTATGTCCTAGGGTAAGATGTAGAGAGATATACATGTATACGGTGTAGGTGTTGCAATAGTTCTGTTTACCTATACCCTCACTCACATCCACATTCACACCCCAATATTATGTCTCTAATTAATAAATTATAATCTAACAATTTACAAAATCCAGAATAAGTTCAAATGTATTGAATTTATTTCTTTTAAGCAGCACACGATGTTTCTGTTGCTTTATTAAAAGCGCTTTAGCAATGTAAAAATACTGTACATATAGAAATTTAATCGGTACTGGAACAAGCAGGATGTAGGTGTGGATGTGACAGAACAGAAGACTCATAGTCATACCCACATCCACACTCACCCACCGAAAGCAGCAAAAAGGCATCAACGCAAAACGTTCGAAAGATTCATATAACCTTGACGTATGTTTTTGTCTTCGAAATGGTGTTTGACTCTTTTTCTGGGTCAACATCCATTTCAGAGACTTTTTGACGATACATGTCTCAAAAAATTCTTTTTTGTAACTAGTCGATGGTAGAACATAGAGAATGAAGCCAAGAACTTGTGGAGCATATGAGAGTAGATAAGAATTAAGCAATGCATGACGTTGCCAATCACTTAATTGTGTACATGCAAAACTAAATGTAAGAATAGCTTGAGGCAGAGCAGAAAGAACAATAATTGTTGGTGTGATATAGAGTTCTTTTTGAGTCTTAAGAGAAGGTCCGCGAGAATACCAGGTATCGTGGCCGGGGTGGGTGTGGGATGTGGGGTGTGGGCGTCAATGAATTGAAGGCATACACCCACACACCCGTTAACAATTTTTCTGGATGAACATGAATTGAAATTATTGCACGCAAAATACTATTTCCATAAAGGATGTGGGTGTGGAGTAGGCAAAGATACTCGCAAGCACACACTGCATCTACACCCATTTTCAAATGTGAACTTTACATTTTTTTCTTCCATCAGCAATACAAATCATTGCTTTTATTTTTTGTGCTACGTTGTTCTTCAGAAGCGACTAGAAAAAAGAAGACTTTTTATTGCTCTAGACATTCTACACAGCATAAACAGAACGAAAAACGATGCACTCTTTCATTTCATTTTTGAACTATTCCATCTAAGCCAAGACTGACACCGTAGAAATTCTGCTGAAACAAGGTCTTCAGATTGGGTGTTGATGTGGACGGTGTTACAGTGATGTCGCACTGATACAACTCGTCATCTATTTTCAAACATTTATTTTATTTTTATTTCTTTTTTCTATTTCTTTCTCAGTGATACATATCTAGTCTCTGTTCTCTTTCTTTTTTCTCTCTCCCTTTTCTTTTTTCTTTTTTTTTCTCGCTCACTATATATGTACGTATTTTCTATCATTTAAAGATAATAAAAGATAGTGTGCATATACACACACATATAGACATATTTTTTCCGTAAAAGAAAGAAAACGAACTTAGCGTTGATCCAAAAGGACAACCGCTAACAGACGGGATAAAAGAAACCAATACATAAACTCACAACTACACCCACCCACACTCTTCTTTTTGTATCGTACAACGTATGCTTGGTTTTTTTCTCAGACGGCTTGTCGTTTACTTTAGTAGCATATTAAGCATTCTAGGGTGTGGTTAGTTTATTCACTTGAATTTCGAACAACATCAGGCTTTAAAACACATCGATAATAAACAGATCCTGTCGATGGTATTTTTTTTGGATCTTTGTAAACGTATGTACTGTTGTCAGCGATGAACTCATGTTTAACATCGAAATGTGAATGAATGAAATTGTTAGCATCTCCTTCTGTAGGAGTAAATTTATAGGAAGCATAACGAAGAAGAACATAAGTATTTCCTATTATCAAATTGTTCACTGTGACAGTGCCATCCATGTCTCTTGACTCTGCATTAAGTACGGGATCTGGTTCATCTCTTTTTGATACTGCTAGGTGAACAGGAAGTGTTACGTCATCTTTATCAATCACTCCTGTTATTGCAATACCATAATCAGTCTAAACAATTTAGAAAATAATTGATATTAAAGAGTATAGATAAACGAAAAGTGAGTTCTATTCCATTGTAGCACATATCCATCATGTTAATCATCTAAAAACTTTTGTTCTTCTTTTCAACTCTTGCAATGATAGATACAAAATTAGACTCTCTATATCTAGAATACATTGATACTTACAATTAACGGTATACGTTCATCACGTATATTTGTGTTTGTTGACATCTCTGCTCTGGTCGAAGCCATCTTTTCTTCACTTAAAGATTTTTCAAATGCTCTTGGTGAATAAAGATCATAATAGATTAGTATATCATCTGGATCATATGCATTGGAATATCTGTATCGAATACCAATAGCTGGTATGATATGATCATAATCGTCGCAATCATCATCTGGAAGAAAGACTC